ACCCCCAAAAAAGTCCTTTAAAATCATAATCCAATACACCCCCCTTAAATTACTCAATTAAAATACAAAAGACTAAAATTACACAATTATGATATTTAAGGGATAAGAAATATAATGTCAATAGTCAAAAGACTAAGGTACTTACCCTATACAACAGGCAATATATAAATATCTCTATAAAACAATATTTGAGTTATGAGATTTGTCTCAATTCTCATGAACTCTTGAAAAATTCAAGTTTCTTAAACTCTCATAAAAAACTTATAATATTTCTCTCTTCTTTATTTATTTGATTTGAATATGTTTTTGATTTCTTAAGTATTACAATCGTCTAATTTTAGCATTTTAAATTTTTAATTGGACAATTTTAGTTCTTCAATTATCATGATTATGCAATTTTAATCCATCAAATTTTAATCGAATAATTTCTCTCAAGTATTACAATCGAGTATTTTAGTCGTTCAAGTATTGGAATTATACACTTTTTGACTTATTATTAATTTTAGTAATAATAAATTAATATCATTTAATACATGAACGAAAATTACAATATATGTAACTATTTAAAAAATTTTATATTCTCATACTTCAAAGACTAAGGGGATGTATTACATTAGGATTTTAAAAAACTTTTTTAGTCGAAATATGTCTTGCAAATTTTAAAAGACTTTGTAAGATTTTTATAATTTTTAAAATTTTGCAAGATTCTGTAAGACTTTAAATAAGGTTTGAATGGATTCTACAAAATTTTTAAGTCAAGATTTTAATATATTCTATAAAACTTTATGGACTTTGTAGAATTTCGTGGATTTTTGACATACGATAAGAATTTAAGATTTTTTTTTCATATATTCAAATTTTAAAAGAGTCAAAGATAAAAATAATATAAAAAAACAATGTCTAAATAAATAATAATAATAATAATTCTCTGTAATATTATTTCCTCCTAAATAACATTTTCATTATTTCTATATTTAGATATTTACACATTCATTTATTCAATTCTAAAAATGTTATATGGTATAGACAAATATGAAATATCTTAAACTCAATAGTTAAATATGCTAGTTAACTATGGTAAATACCTTTAAATATAAATTGATTACGCGTGTTTAGGGATGAAAATAGGTTAGACTTTGAATATATAGGTTGGACTTGTTCTATAAAATTAAAGTCTAAGTCTGACCTATTATCTATTATAGGCTTGACCTGCCCTTTTTAAAGTCTGGTATGACCTATTAGCCTATTTAAATTATTAATGTTAATTAGGACAATAAACTTAGTTTTTAAAAATCAACAATATTATTTTTAAAATATAATTTATTCAATATTATTAAAATTTAAATTTAAAAGAAATATAGGAGAAAAATTGTATAAACCTATAATGAAAAAAAATTGTATAATAAAATATTTTAAATTTTAATAATTTATTTTTGTTTTATAAATTTATTTATTTATTTATATTTTTAATAATATATATATATATATATATATATTAATTTTTTCTTATATTATATAAATAAATAAACTAACCTATCAGACCTAATAGACTTTTCTATAAGTCTAAGTCTGACCTTTTTTAAAAACTTAAGCTTGGCTTTTTTATTAAACAAGCTAGTCCAAGTCAGGTCATAAATCCTTGTTTAAGGTCTGACTTATTCTCATCCCTACGCATACTATTAAAAAAATTACTACTTAAAAATTGAAATTTTAAGTGTTTTATGTGTTATATATATGATGAACAAATTTAACTAAATATAGCAAAATAGAGCAAGTCAATTAAAGAGAGCGAAGAGAAAAATAAAGAAAGTCAATGATAACAATAATATAGTATTATATATGAGCAGTAATGCAATATTATTAGCAGAAAAAAATAGAAAAGACATGAGTATAGAAAAAAAGAGAGATGAAAAACTCATTCACTTGAAAATTCTTGAAGCACTTGAAAAATCACTTCAAAAAATGCTCCAAAATTTGATGGGTTTGGATGAAATATTTTATGAATTTGGTATTTATAAATACTACTAAAAATCTCTCTAATAGCAATCTTTTAAAATCCTTATATTTTTGAATACCAATAGATTATTTTTAAGTTATAAAAAGTCTTAAATGAATACTAATTGATTTTAATGGACTATTTAAAAAATCTTGAAAATCTAGAGTCAATACCACTTGATTGTTTTTAAGTGACATAATGTAACGACCCGCCTGGCCGCCACACACAGCTCAACACCACAACACCACATAGAAAGAACATACATATATCCAAATAAAGTATATACAATACCTCAAATCTGGGGCCTGAATAAATCAGAGTAAAAATACAGTCCAAGATAGCCAAACTAGTGGCCAAAAACAACAAAACATCAAAAGAAATACTCCATCTGCCAGCTGCAGACCTGCCTCTTGACACCAACCTAACCCTGCTCTGCCCCCATACAACGTATGATCATCGCAGTCCAAACCACATGGAAACAACAAAGGGTAAGCTAGTGAAAAGAATTAGCATATAAAACATATATTTACAATAATTATAGTCAGCTATATCTAACAGCATATCACCTATTTCAGCAACATCAGCATATAATATATCACAGCATACATCATTCAACAATAACAACAGTAAACAACAGTAAACACACAATGCGTCGTCACGCATATCAGCTCAGAGATCTCCTACAACAGCTCAGCCTTATGGCCTACAATAGCTCAGCCTTATGGCCTACAACAGCTCAGCCTTATGGCCTACAACAGCTCAGCCTTACGGCCTACAACAACTCAGCTTTACGGCCAACAACAGCTCAGCCTTACAGCCTACAACAACTCATCCTTACGACCTACAACAACTTATATCATCATGCAGCACAACACGACAATTCATCATATATCAACATGCGACACAACTCAATAATATACAGCTTAGCTTAAACAACTTACAACACAACAATATTATCATTCGGCTTAACACCATACATCAAAAGCATCTCAGCTCAGCATATATCAACATTAATCAGCATTGTTCAACACATATCAGCATATAACATTACATAAGTAACCTTCACACCTGCGCCTGGTGCACTCATGGTCGCGCCCGTCGTGACACAACCAGAGAGTACCAGGGTTCAGTGCACCCGGCGTAATTACAATTGCGCCTGGCGTGCTAGGAGGCAGAGACTCCAAAGAGTCTCACACGCCCAGCGTGCCAATCCCGCGCTCGACGCAAGGAAGGCAGAGACCCTCCCAGGGTCTCACGCCCGGCGCAATACCAATTGCGCCCGGCGCCACCTCTGGCAGAGATTCCCAAGGAGTCTCCACGCCCGACACCACACCAGAAACCCAAAATGCCAAGTTACTTCCTAATATCGCGCCCAGCGCGGTCCATTCACGCCTGGTGTGGGCCATCCAGAGGCTCACATTCTCAAGCTCGCCCGGTGCACACACCCTTGCGCCTGGCAGGCTTGCTCAATGGAGCCCTCTGATGGTCACGCGCCCGACGCGAAAAACTGCGCCCGACGTGATTCCCAGCAACAACTCACCAAGTTCAAAAATTTCCTCAAAAACCTGCAAAAACAACCAGAAAATCCACATGCAATCCATCCAAAAGTTTACATTTTCATCAAACATCAATAAAAACACCTCATTTTTAGCATGCAACCTCAAATCATTAAAAACTCAATTTTTCACCCAAAACCCCCAAAATGAAATTTCTTCAATCTCAGCCAACAATCATCCAACATCAAACCCCTCATGAGTTTCTAAACTCATTTCCACACAATCTAGCAAAAACCTAGCTTCCCTTACCTCGGGGAGACGATTCCGAGCTCCGGGAAGAAGAAAAGTTTGAACGGAGAAGAAATGGGGAAGAAGGAGAAGCTTGAGGAAGCTCCGCACGGCTCAGCAAGAATCAAACACTTACTCAGCACCTAAGAATCACCAAGAAGAATCAGCAAGTGAGCAGAGGATTTGGGGAAGAAAAGAGTATGAGAGTGAGGGTTTTTGAGTGAGGGAGAAGAGAGTAACAGCCAAAAGAAAAAGGGTCTCACACATAAAATCTTGATTAAAATAGTAATAGACTTTTTTACTTAAAAAAAGTCTTTTAAAATCCTATAAAATCCTAAGCCAATACACCCCGTAAAATTGTATAACTGCGATATTTAGATACTAAAATTGTTCAATTAAAATTTAGAAGACCAATATTGTATAGTTGCGATATTTGAAGGACTAAAATTGTTCACACAGGAGATAAGAATTTAACTTCTATAGAATAGGAAAAATATTTTCTTAGGATAAAATCACCACCATTTTTTTTGTTTTTACAATATACTCTCTTTGGACTTATAAATAAGTAAAAAAAATCAATTTCACACGTATTAAAAAAAAATAATTAAACACATTTAATTTTCATGATTTCATATAAAAAATAGTTACATTTTCTAAAATGTCTTTAGTCAAATAGGTACATTTATCATAAATAATGTTATCACTTATTATCTTAATAATATTTTTAATTAAGAACATTAAATAAATAAAGTTGATTTGATTAAAATTTACTTATATTTAAGTTTGAAAATTTTAAAAAACTTTTGTTTTTATATATAAGTTCAAATGATGTTACTTTTATTATTTTATTAGCACATTTAATGTGATAAATAATTAAAATTTATAAAAAAAAGTTAATGTAATTAAAAATCTTTGACTTTTTTAAAAATATTTATGATTAGTCAAACAAATTATTTCTATCTTATGAATGTTAGCAATACTTTCTAATTTTTTTTGACATTATCTTTATTATTGATCAAAATTTATTAAAAGTTATAAATTTTTGTTTATTTAACAAGTCTCTTTCATATTTAGTGATGAAACCTATCAAAATTCGCAAATTTTAGCAAATTTTAGCCAGCAACACTTTAGTAGAGAAAATATTAGGAAGAGAATGTTAAAAAATGTGTAGATAATTAACGAATAACGTTACATTTCTCAGCAAATCATTATTATTTCTGTGAAGACGAAGAAAATTGTCATTGAACAAACGGTCCCTTAACAAAAAGGGAAGCATCATGAGCCGTAACGAGTATTTATTCTCTCACCATGTATGCTGAGCAACAAAGTTGAAAGCAAATTATACATTTATACCATCAACATGTTGGTGCAGGAAGAGAAAGGCATGGCTGATCCAATTCCCTTGAATCAGCACTTTGTGCTGGTGCATGGCATTTGTGGAGGAGGTTGGTGCTGGTACAAACTCCAGTGCCTTATGGAGAATTCTGGCTTCAAGGTCTCATGCATAGACCTCAAGAGTGCAGGAATTGATCAAACTGATGCTGATTCTCTTCATTCCTTTGATGATTACAATCAACCCCTCATGGATTTCTTGGCTGCTTTGCCTCAAAATGAACAGGTTTTGCTCTTACTCATATATGATCAATCACAATACCTTATAGTCTGTCTGAATATAAGTTTAGAAAAGTCTCTAAGAATTTTATATCGAAAATAATTTTTCAGTAGAGAAACTCTCAAATGTTCTTTAAACACTTAGTCTAATTTAGTTACCTACACAAATTGACCCCTTAAGTTATGTGATTGCTATATAGGTGATTTTGGTGGGGCACAGTGCAGGAGGATTGAGTGTTACTCAGGCTTGTCACAAATTTGCCAAGAAGATCCGTTTAGCAGTGTATGTAGCAGCAACTATGCTCAAGTTGGGATACTGGACAGATCAAGATCTAAAAGATGTGAGTCCTTTTCACCAAATCTCTTTCTCTCTATTGAATTTTGTAAAATATTTAGATACTTTAGCCAAGTTATTTTCTGATCAAAATTAGAGTTTCATTATCGGTATAATAAAAACTTGCATAAAATTCAACAAATGTTATAAGATAAACTCCATCTCTAATTATAGAATAACACAAAAGGATATGTATTGAAGAATATTTAAGTTTTGACCTTGAATTATTCAATGTGCCATGCATGTCTGGTGTACCTCTGTGATAATTAACTTTGATATCAACTGTATATGATGATAAACTTGGTATGTGACAGTGAGTTCATAGTTTACTTTGTTTTTCTAAGTTTTGGACTCTCCAAGCTCCAGCATAGTTGTTGTTGATGCTCTGTTTAAATAATTGATGGCCAACTGTCTTCACAAATCTGAGGCAAACGCACCAACTCACATTTTTTCAAAAGAATAGTCCTATACACAAACAAACTAGCTAGTAGCTGTTCAGCAACATGGCAAGGTGCTAAACAAAAAGAAAAAATAATAAAAAAATAAATATTTTTTTTTTCTGTCATGACTAATCCCAATTTACTGACAAATTAAGACTAATTTCACTCACGGTATGGCCATTGCTGGCCCCAAGGTTTTCGTACCATAAATAAATAAAATTTAATTTCCCTTATTTCCTTAGTTTTATGTTCATTATTAGCTAGCCTTTGCTAAATTGTGAGTTTTCTTTAGAAATTTTTTTATTGTACAATAAGGGTATCTTTGAGATGTTTTTTTTTATATTTTTTTTACGTCGATTGAAACTAAATTGCTCTTCAACTAGTCCTAAAAATATAATACACGATGATACATATGAGAGAATTTATTCCATGTACTTTAAGTAAGAAGGCAACTTCTCTTTATTTTAGCGTTTGACAACAAACTAATTGCAATTTTATAATATGGTCAAAACTAGGGTTTCACTCAACCCTTTACACCTGCTGCATTCTGACCTAGATGCATTTGTTTTTAATTACAATAATTATATCCATTGACTTCGCTTTCTTTTCCATTTTTTTCTATCACATTTTTTTATATTCTTAATTAATTCTCTTTTCCTTTTTTATCATTTCACTTATCACATTTGATATTTTCTGTCTCTTCCTTATTATTATTATTATTTTATATTTCTTGATTCTTTCTACCTCCAAATATTCCCATTTTGCAAATGAACCCTTTTTATTGTATAGAGATAAAGATGGATTTATTTATTCTTTTGGATGAAACAGAGAGATACCGAATCAGGAAAACGTATAGGAGTCTAACACCGACACAATAGTTTAAGAGCTTTTCATCATTTAACTTGGTATGTATAAATTTCTCAACAAAGACATATGAAAATACAAAATATAAGTACTTCATTTTTTTTTATAAAAGTTTTCTCATCTTTTTAAATACTGAAATGTGTGTATAAAATAATTTTAATTTATAAACACGGTATGATTTTTTTTACAAGTGTTTGTTGAAAAGTTCATAAAAAACATACCCTTAATCACAGTAAGCTACCAAGCTTCAATCAATCTAATAAAGTTTCTCATTTCCCTTTCAAACTCTGTCCATCATTGTCAACAATTTTGTGCAATCTAAACCTTCACCAGAACATCGATCTCTTGTTATAATCACCTTTCTCAGCCATGTTATCTTGTTTGGAGACATGAAATTGTGAAATCTATAGCTTTCTTGCTTTTTATTTTCACTAGAATGCTTGTTGTGACTTACCCGACAGCCTGTTCCACAGGTGATTTTTGTGTTCCAGAGGTGGATATATAGTAGAAAATTTTAAGTGTGTTCAAACTTTTCTTCAATGATTGAAAAGAAACAAAACAATCAGTGAGGCTAATTGCTATTTTTGCATGACAATAGAGTAGCTAATCACTTTATTGTGCCTCATGTAAATAATGAAAATAATGATGGTGATTTTGATTTGTGTCAAGCAGGGTGTACCTGACCTATCAGAGTTTGGGGATGTATACCAGCTAGGATTTGGATTGGGACAGGATAAGCCTCCAACCAGTGCTTTGGTGAAGAAAGAATTTCAACGCAATATCTTCTACCCTTTGAGCCCACCTGAGGTATGTATATTTTAAAGGGGGGAAAAGGACATGCATGATGCATGCTTTACCTACACAACTGTTTAACCCATGTTCACTTACTCAGGACTTTTGGCTCAAGGGTACCCTACATGCCATGTACTTTTTGCCATCATCAATTTCATTAGCATCTTCTGCTTTTGCCACTTGTAGGACCATTTATGGAAATATTCTTGGAAAAGGGTGAATACAAAGAAAATTTATCCAAATCTAAAAAACATCCTTAGAGAACATTCTAGCTAGCTATAGTGATAGTAATATTTATTAACCATCAATGAACAAAACCTAATGAAAACGACCCGGGACTAGCTTTATCTAGAGAAGTTAAGGAATTCCCCTTTCTTATCTTCTATTTCCAACACATTATTTGTATGTTTGAATACCTCCTAGAATCAATTCTGATGTCAAAATTATGATGAAAAATTGAAAAAGTTGTAGTAACTTTATTTTTCACCCTTAAACGTGATTTTATAACTTATTTTGATATAGAATTGGAAGTTAAACTAAACACATATTATCTGATTAGTTAAAATTCACATAAGTTTTACTAATTTGGTAACAAGACCCACCATATGAGAAATACGATCTACATATCTAGTGTAACTACATAATATGAAATTACTTGATTAAAAAAGAGTGTGTCAAAAGTATGTTATATATTATCATTTATCTGCTTATTACAAATGATGAACATTTGAATAGTGATTTCACTGATGACACTAAAATTGTGGTGTAGGATTCAACTTTAGCTGGCATGCTGATGAGGCCAGGGCCAATTCTAGCATTGACAAGTGCAAGGTTCAAGGAGGAAGGGGAAGTGGAGAAGGTGCCGAGGGTGTACATAAGGACAAGGCATGACAGTGTGGTGAAGCCAGAGCAGCAAGAAGCTATGATAAAGAGGTGGCCACCATTGAGTGTGTATGAACTAGACAGTGATCACTCTCCCTTGTTCTCCACCCCTTTCCTTCTCTTTGGTTTGCTTCTGAAAGCTGCAGCTTTTGACGTTGGAACCAACTTTGAGACTAGGCCACCCTCCTAACTTTTCTTTTCTCTACTACTTTTTGCTTCTCTCCAATCCAAACCATGTGCTGTGATAAATCAATTTGGTCCATAATCACTGAATAATTTATATATATTCATAATTCTATATATAGTTTCCTAATAATGTGCTTGTTAGGATGAGAAGATATTGAAGGGTGGAGTTTAATAAGATGGTTGGTTGATGTGATAAAACTCTAATTACAAATTTTCAATTTTATACCTTTGATTTGTATTTTTGCATATTTGTCTTTAAAGAAACTCAACTACATGTTTAGGGACAAGGAGCTAACTTAAAAATTGTCATTTTGGTTATGAAGTATGTACTTATTGTTTAATAGCACATGTTATTTAGTGAAGATAATGTTAAAATAATTTATTATATTTCATTGGCCTCCTATTGAATCAACAACCTATAAAAAATTAATTCATAATTAAATATAAAATTGAATTGGATAATAAGTGAAGAAAATTCTTAAAAACCCTTATGTTAAATAATAATCTCTAAAAATACTTTTATATAAGATAGTCATTTGCATTTAATGAGATTGATAATTTTCATTATAAAAAAAACATATCTCCCAATAAAATGAATGGAGAAAATGTTGATAAACAATCTCCTATTGCATTACTTTACCATACAATTATGGGGTGACGATGGTGTGACGATAATAACAATAGTGATAATAGTGATGACAACGATAGTAAAAATGATAGTCATGATGATAATTATGATAAGGACAACTGATAGACTATGGCCAAGACCAAGGAATCCAAGAGGTGATATCTTAAAAGAACCAAGAGGAATGAGATGATCTTAAAGACCTTTTTCATATGTTTGTACATATAGTAGTTTCTTTGTATAGGCTTATTTTTGCCTTTGTATTTGTGAGGCACTTTACTTGCTTTTATTAGTGATTGTATATTATTTTTAGGGTGGGTTACTTGGAGAGTTTAACTTCATTTAACCTCCTTTGTTGATACATTCATTTTATATTTTTTCAATAGGGAAAAAGGGGTGGCATTTAGCAATGCTTGAGGGTGTGACTAGTAATTGGGCCAGAACTGGGCCTAGGCAAAATTTTGCATATTAGACTCATTTTGCTCCTAATTTTTCATAGATTTGATTTAGCTAGGTCTCATCATCATATGATGAACCTAACTAAACCAAATCAAATATTTTTGAAATAAATCATGGAGCATTTTTTAGCCTTGCCCGCCTAGCTCATTCCTTTTATTCTTGGCCAAAATTTCTAGCTTCTCTTACAAGCTTTGAAGCTTTCCTTCCAAGCTTCTAAACCTTAGTAGGTTTGGCTGACCTTACCATGGTTCTTAAGTGAACCATGGTCAAGGTTAGCTTCTCCTACAAGTTTTAGAAACCATGGATGGTTAGCTACACCTTACCATGGTTCCTAGTGAACCATGGTTAAGGTTAGCTTACACTACAAGCTACCTCTCCCTATATATTTGTAATTTCTACTCTTGTATTCACTTTTGAACATTTTGAGAAATAGAAATCAGATTTCTTTCTCATTCAAGAGTCTTATAAACCGTAGAGAACTCTCTCTCTAAGGTTTCTATCAAAGTTTCTTCAAACTTTGCCTTGGTTCCTCAAGCTTCCTTCACAAGCTAGGAAGTAACCGAACCTACTCCATTGCTTCTCCACCATTGGAGAATACTCCAAGGTGATTCTACCACCTCAAGGAGTTCTACCTCAAGAGTTCTTCGGTCCTTTGCATGGAGACTTGGATGAACAACTATCTTCTCCAAGTAGTTCCATCAGTTTTGGTATCTAGAGCCTAGTGCTCTTGAGGTTATGTGTTTCTAATTTTTTCTTCATTGAATCCGTGTTGTTCCTTCCTTATCTTTGTCTAAATTTGTGTTGCTGTATGGATCTAATTTTATTTCATATTTTGATGGATCCTATATGTCTCATGAGAAGTAATTGATTCATATTTTGCTTGTTTCCAATTCTTGTAAATCAATTTGGTTTGTGCTTTTAGGACTCTTGTTCTTGTGCATTTTTTTTATGTTTGTTTGAGTCTCTCAATTCCTTAACATGTGTCCGTGATTGGACAACATTCATATTGCATTAGTTTTATTTTTGAATCACTTGTTTTGTCATAGAAGTCATGTGTAGTCCTTTTTCATGTTGAAAATTCCTAGATTAGCTTGTTGACCTAATTTTTGTGTGTTGTTTGTGTCGAAATTTTTTGTGTTTTTCTTTTTGAATCTGAACCTTACCTATATGTACTTTTGTTTTACATATTTGTGTTCATAATTTGCTATTAGTTCTAGCAAATTTCCTAGGGTTAGGTTTCTATTATGTCTTGTTAAAAGTTTTGTCAAAAAAATTACTAAACATTAATTCCTATTAGGTTTCCTTGAGTCTTATTGTGTTGCTGAAACTTTTAACAAATTTTATACATTAGAAACAGAGGCAAAACAGAGGTGTATGTGTTCCAAATGCATGAGAAAAACAAAAGAAAATAGTGCCTAAAAAGTTGACCTAAAAATACTATAAAATTGTGATGCACTAGTGAAAACATGCTTGTGAACACCTCTTGTTTTGTGAAAATATTTTTGCTGCAGTTTTTCTAGCCTAAGGCTGAGACCTATAATTGTTCAAAAGGCATTTAAACTCCTGATTAATCAAAGAAAAAGAAGTGAAAAATATTTTGCAAAAAGAAAAGAAGGAAAATAGCAAAAGAAAAAGCCAACAGGAGTGAAAAATTTGTGTGAATTAGCTCTCGGTTTTGGTGAAATCTTTGCCTATTAATTTTCAGTCCAGCCACATATTTTGTGTCTTAATTTTGTTTCTAATCTTAGCTTTGTTTTTGTAATCCATTCTAGTGCCTTTGATAGGTTATCCTTTGTGTGCTAGCTTTCTAAATTTGCCTTAATTTTTGCTTGTCATTTTTGTGGAACTCCTTCTAGTTTGTCTCATTTCATTCTACCAATTGGTGTAGCCATTATAAATTGTGCCTTTTCAGTTTTAGCACTAATATTCCAGCAATTGAAGGTGGTTGAGTGCTTCTTAAAAGGTGTAGGAGGCCAAGTCAAAGGAAGTCAACTTGAAGGCTTTGGTGGTTGCTTAGGGAGCTTGTTCTCTCTTGGTGGAAGGTCTCTTGCAAACACCTAGAAGTAACCAAAGTCAAGGTTGCTTCTAAAAGAAGAGTGATACACTTGTGAGGGCTGCATGCTTGGTGGCTGAAATTGGAAGAGAAGGAGCAACAAAATTTTGAAAATTTTGTGAACTTTAGAGACCAATTTTAGTGACGGAAAATTTTGTTACTAAACCTATTTTCCTTACAAAACCCGTCTCTAAAATTTGTTTCTAATAAGTGGCTAATTTGTTTTCTTTGAAATTAAGTGCAGCCGCTAAATTTCATTTGATTGTGAATTTACATTTCATTTGGT